TTTTATAAATATATTTATATATTTTATATATTTTTATATTATATACTTTACCTCTTCCTTTGATATGTAAGTACCACCATCTTTTACACGAATTCCTGTTTTAACATAATTAAATTTTCTACCATATAATTCCAAAAATTCTATTAACAGCACCCCAAGATTAGCATTCGAACAATAAGCATTTTGTCTAGGATGTAACTAAAATAAAAATTTATTAGTATAAGAAAATAAATTATTTATTTTAAAAAAGATTTATTATTTTTATATAAATTATAAATTTTATAGAACATATATATAAATAATATTATGTTCATATTCTATATTTGATAGAAAATTTATGTAATAAATTCTTATTTATATTTTTTAAAATAAAAATATTAATATTTTACCTGTAAAAAACTGATAGTCATAAGTATTAAACTATATGATGAGATTCCACCAGTAAACACTTCATTCAGGTCTCTTTGTAACAAGAATTGCTTTAATACCATAACTAGCTTTTCTAGTACTGGAAACCTCTTTTTAAAAGAATTTATCAATTCTGCAGATTTAACACCATTATTCATATTAAAACTGATATCTACTTTAATTTCAGTTTCTTTATCAGTCAACTTGACAATTGGAACACTAGCTTTATCTAAAACTTTAATAGAAGATGGTTCAGCAATATTTTGATCCAATAAAGCACGTTCCAAAGTGCGTAATGGAAGATTTGTCCACATTCCTATTACTACTAAATCTATATCACTAAAAGAGAAAATAAATTTTTTACATATTTAAAGAATTTCTTAATAATAATTAAGAATATATATAGAAAAAGAGCAAGAAATAGAGGAAGATTATTATTATTACTATTATTATTATTGTTATTATTATATTATATTATTATTATTATTATAATTAGAGAGATTATTCATCATAATATATGAATTAAAAAGCAATATTATTTAGTTATAAGATTATAATAATTAATTTGTTTAAAAGATACCTATATATTTTACATGTAAACATGTCACTAAATACATTCCATTTTAAATATGTACAATGATACGTACCTTGTAGGTAAATATAAACCAGTACGAAAGCTGCCAAATACTTCAACCTTAGAATCTGGCCAGAGATCATATATTACTTGTTCTATCCTTTTGACAACACGTATTCGTAAACTATGTTCTTCATTAGAGGGACACATATAAGCAAAAAAATCTTCAATTTCTTCATGTAATCTAAATATAAAAACAATTAATCAATGATAATTTCTTATTTATATTTATATAACTTTTGAGAAAATATTACTATATATTATTTTACATATTCATATCTTTAAATTGTTTAACAACAATTTTATATAATTTATTATCTCTACTTATCATAATTATATATATTATAAACTTCTAAGAATATGAAAAAATATTTAAATGATTATTTGTAATATATAAAACTGAAAATTAAAAAATATATAAATAAAATATACATTTTTATTAAACTTGTTAATATTGTATTTTTATTATTTATATAAATTTTTGTGAATACATTATAAAAAATTATTTATAAAAAATATGTTCAATATATCATAAAAATTTTTTAATTTACATATAAAATTAATAAAAGAAAATTATTTATAATTATCAAAATAAATCATAAACTTATTTCTTTATATTTAAAAATATTTACTAATTTTATATATTTTTTAATTAGACATAAATTTAATAGAAAAAAACAGAATATTTTTTTAAAAATTTAAAGTTTTTATTTTATTAATGTTCCTAAATTTACAAATATTTTAAATAAATTTTTAAATTTTTATATTATTATATATAATAAATTTATATAAAAAAATATATAAAAAATTAAAATTTATAAATATTAGAAAAATTAAATTCAATACTTAAACTATATGACAATTTATTAATATATTTTATAAATCATATAAATATTATATTATGAGTTTATATGTAATATATGATTTATATAAAACAAAATATATTTTTTAAATTAAAATATTTTTTTTCAATAATAATCTTAAAAAAAAATTAATTCAAATAAATAAATATATAAATAAAATTTAAACAATAATATTTATAATTATAAAAATATATTAAATTTTATAATTATAAAATTCAATAAAAAAATTAAAATTTCTAATTAACATTCTACAATATTTTCAAATTTGAATAATGTTTAATTATTATGAATATAAACATAAATACTCATATTATATAAACATCCACGTGTGTTTACAAAATCATTATGCATATTAATAAAGAGTAAAAATGCGTTGATAAAAGAGTTTGTAAAAATTAAAAAAATTAAGTATTTGGAAGATATATTTAATTAAATAAATTATATTTATTATTATTAAAGAAAATAAATTCTTATTTGTACCATATCTAATTATAAAGAGCCTTGCTATATCCTATTTGTAAACGAGTGTGCACATAACCTTAATCATGCCCATATGGACGAACTATAGAAAGGTTAATAGTTAAACTTTCATAAAAAAAAAAATAAATTAAAACTTAATAATAAGACTTACCCAATAACACCTTTTGAATAATGTTTATTGGGTACTCGCCATGGACAACCACCGTATTCGCCAACTAAGGCATCATAATTGTAGTTCATGCCGTAGGTACTAGCACGATTATCACCTTTCCTACGCGATGGATTATAATAGCTATTACAAGTATTATGTTGCATGCGATCTCCCGTACGAGAATTGAGAGAATCTAAAGATATGAAGTCTTGTTGAAGCTTCACACCCATTACATTCGAAGATGAATCGTTTTTCAACGTTAAAATATCCAAGCCTTTTTCAGCTTCCCAAATGTGTAACCACAAATCCTTAGCAGGGCCGAACTGCTCCGGTTGATACCAACCGATAGTCGGATCCATTAAATAGTTCTCGATTCTGTATCTTACGATTAATGGTCCTTGCACACTACACTACAATTCCAATCTTAATTCAACTTTAATTGAAAAATTGTCTGATTTATTGTAACCTGCGAACACTATGAAATTCATACATACGACCATTGAACAACAGCATTTTAGAAGGAACTTCGTATACCATTGTGCAAGCATAGAATAATAAAGATACTCAAATAATTTGTTCCTGCAGATGGCATTATTATTTATCATATAAAAATAAACGTTTCTGAAAATGTGATTAAAAAATATTTGTCATGCAATTTTATACATTGTTAAGATAATCTTAATATGTAAACTATATAAATTAATATGTAAAAAAAAGAAAATAATGTTATTTTACTTTATTTAAGTTACTTATATATAATATTCATTTATTGTACATTTAAAAATATTTAAAAATTTGTAACATGGATAGTAGTAATTTTAAAAAATGTTGAACATTGAAAGAATTTTTGTTTTTTATTTGTTTTAATTTTTAAAAATACAACATATGCAAATTACTAGATTAAAATGCATTTTTATTTTGAATAAAAAAATATTTAACATTTTAAAATAAAAATAAAAATCTAAATAAATTTAAATAAATAAAATTTAATTTAAAATATACAAATTGGAATTTTTGAATAAATTAATTTAAGCAAATAAATACTGTTAATGAACTTAATATATATAAATGTATAATAATAATAATAATAATTTTATATTAATTTAATAATAAACAAAATTGAATATTTAAAATATGAAATGTTTATAAATTTAATGCACATTTTATAAAAAATATAAATATAAATATTTCAAAACTTATTTAAAATCTGCAATATATATGTCTAATAGTTTGTGCAAGCATGCATATGTAGAAATATATATAATAGAAATAATATTATACAACATATATTAAATATTTCTAATATCTGAAATTTTATATACTTGTTTAATTATAATGAATAAAAGTAAATAAATTATCAATGTATAAATAATAAATAAATTTTATACGATAAAATGAAGAAAATTAAATATGTAATTTAAACATACATATTATATATATTTTCATGAATATATTTCTTATATTTTTGTAATTTAATATTATATTATTATAATTTTATTTTAAAAAATAATAATGTAATAATAAAAAATGATAAAATCTAATCCATCTCTATCAGATATATACACACACACACACACATATCTTATAAAGATAGAAGATTAATAAATCGACTCCACCCATCTTTAATTTTCCGCGAAATTCAAATGAAAATTTATATTTTAATTTAAATATTTTAACTTTCATTATACTTATTCTCAATATCTTTTTTTTAGCTTTAAATTACTATTTTTTTAATACTAATTTATAGATTATATTATTTAAGAAATGTATATATTTATTATAAAAATCTTTTTCCTTTTTTATTTCTTTTCTAAATTATGATAAAAGATTTTAATATTTAAGTTTATATAATATATTTATATTTTACATATTGTATTATTTAAGATAATATTTAATATAAAATGTTTTGTTTTTATTTATTATTAATATTATTTTAAATGTATTGTTATTTTAATAAATATTTTTTAATTTAAAGTTTTTAATATTTGAATGTATTGAAATATATTTATATTTAAATATAAAAAATAGAAAAATTAATAATAATAAAATTAATAAAAATAACAATATTTATTAATTAATTAATTATTAAGAAATTTCTTAATTTAGTAACTTGATGTGCATTAAAAGTGAATTTATACTATTAAAATATGCATTAACTTTTATTATTAATTGTTTAGAATAGCTCTTATTTATTTAAAACTAAACTTTTTAAATTTTACAGAAACATTTTAAAAATAGTATTTATTCAAAGGATATATGTAATCTAAATTAAATACGTTCTTTTCATTGATAGTGAAATATAGATATGAGTTGCTTACTTCATGCAAGTAACAACGTGATTTTTCAATTAAAATAGAAATTGAAAAATGTGATGGATATTATGATTAACAATAAACAAAAATGTGTTATGAGAATTTTTAAAATAAATTAGTCTTCCAAATAATTTATAAATGTATTACACTAATTATTTATTATATAATTTTACTGGTATTTCTATATGTTGTAATTAATCATTTATTAAATCTGTTGCAGGTGAGTTGTAATATTTGATAATAAAATCAACTATATGTTATTATTAATTAACATTACAGATATATTTGAAAAATAAATTATTTATAAATTTCAAATTCACTTAAATTTATCAATACATTATTTATTCGTTTTTATTTTATTATTATTATTATTATTTAATTATTAATAAACAAATTTATTTAATATCATATTTTTTAATTTCTTAATAGTAAATTTTCCTTTAGTAATATTTTATTCTTGTAGTTTCTACCCCCCTATAACTATATGTTTGTTTTATATAAATTTATTAGCTAACATATTTGTCCTCTTTTTATTTTTTAAAAAATTTAAGTATTTGAAATTTATTTTTTCTTTCAGACATGTCAGAACATGTTGAATTACATCATTTACTTGATGGTGATACTGAAAGTAATACAATAATACAACAAAAAAGATTTTCCATTTTAATGTGTAAATCTTGCCCTTATCTTGGTTTAATCTTAGCAACATTATCATCATTATTTTTTTCATTATGCAGTGTTATTGTGAAGGGTTTAGTCGAAGTAAATCCAATGGAATTAGCAGCATTTCGATTTATGGGTGTATTACTACCAGCAATACCAATTGTAATATATAAAGGAGAACATCCATTTCCAAAGGGTCGTAGATTAATGCTAATATTAAGAAGTTTTGTGGGGACTACTGGTCTCATGTTAAGTTTCTATGCATTTCGGCATATGCCATTAGCTGATGCATCTGTTGTAGTATTTTCTGTTCCTGTATTTGTAGCTATATTTGCAAGAATATTTTTAAAAGAACCTTGTGGATTATTCAATGTTATTACAGTTTGTTTGACATTGATTGGCGTAATCTTAATAACACGTCCACCCCTTATCTTTGGACATACTATTGAATCACTTTCAGATGGACATATAAAAACACAACATGCAGATTTATGGGGAGCAATAGCAGCTTTTTCAGCAACTCTTTTTGGTGCAAATGCATATATTTTATTGCGAGCTTTAAAAGGCCTCCATTTCTCAGTAATTATGACAAATTTTGGATCATTTGCCTTGATTCAGACAATAGTTATATCCTGGGCTATAGGTGCATTATGCTTACCTCGGTGTGGAACTGACAGACTTCTAGTTGTTGCACTTGCTCTTTTTAGTTTTGGTGGTCAAATACTATTAACATTAGCTTTACAAATGGAACAAGCAGGACCAGTTGCAATAGCAAGATCAGCAGACATAGTTTTTGCTTTTTTTTGGCAAGTTTTATTTTTTAATGAAATACCAAATCCTTATTCAGTTGGAGGAGCCATTGTAGTCACAAGTTCAGTTTTATTAACAGGTCTAAGAAAATGGGCTCTTTCATTACCAGAAACATCTAATGTTAAAAAATCTTTGGGTATTTTGATGTTGTAAATTATAAATTATAAATAAGAAAAATGTACTTTTAAAACTACATTATACTATTTTATTAAAACTTGTTTTTGTAATATTAACTTAAGTTTTAGGTAGAAATAATTTTGATCTATAAATATATTTTATAAAATGAAATAAAATTTATGTAATATATATAATTATATACAAATTTTCAAATTTTTTAAAATTGAATTATTTCAAATTAAGAAATTGAAAAATTTTCTTCTTTTTTTTTATTATATTATACTTTACATACTTTACATATTTTACTTATTATGAATTTTTTCTAGATAAAAGACTGTATAATTTTATGAGATATAAATTTCATGATATAATTTTCATTCATGAGATTTTGCTATATTGCTATCTTGCTATGTTCCAAGAAAGTTTTTAATAAATATTTTATATTGCTTATTATTTTATTTAAAAATATTTATTTTGATAGTATTTCATATGTATTATATCTTTCTAATTATTATTTATTAATATAAACTAATAGTCTAAAACTCAGTATTATAAAAAAAGTCTTTTGATCTCTAATATAATAAAAATCTTTTTATTTATAAATTTATTATATCTCTAATAAGTTTATTTGTAAGATTTTATTTAATATGATATATAATGATATTTTTATTTTACAGTATGCACAAATATAATAATATGTACACAAAAATTTTTTCTTTTATTATATTTTTAAAATAATCAATTTATATGAATATAAATATGAATTAAATTTTGATTAACATTGAATTAAATGTGAATTCTAGTGTACAAATATTAAGAAATATAAATTTATTTAAAAAATTTGATTATATTATAAATATTATATTATTTCTATATTATATGAAATAATTAATAAAATAATTGAACTTGTCAATGTTATAAAAATAAATGCATCTATTAAAAATTATTAATAAAATTATAAATATTTAATATTTATTTAATAAATTTTTAATAAAATTATATGTTATTTATATTATTATATTATATTATCTTATGTGCATATAAAATACAAGAAATTTTAAATATTAATGCTTTGAATAGAATAAAATGTCAAATAGGAAAAAATGCAAAACAATAAATATGAATATGTATATTATTTTTTATCTTGAACTAAAATATATTAACTGAGAATTAATTAAAATTTGATGAAAAATATTTAACAACGAATAAATAATAAATATTTAAAAAAACCCTAATTTATAATAAATACAAAATTATATATATAATATAATATAAATTCTCTTGTACTTCTCTTTAAAGTACTGTTATAATAAAAATTATATTACAAAATAAAATATGTAATTTTTTTTACTGTCAAAAAAATTTATTTTTAAAAATATAATTTTTAAATAGTTTATATATTTTATAATTTATAAGAAATACATTATTCAAAGAGTTAAATAAATAGTTTTTCTTAATTATTATGCAAAATTGATCGTTAAAATATTTTCGTATGTAAATTTATTTATTTTTGTATTATGATAACATTACATGTGTTGATATTTATATATCAACACATATAAATATTTAATTAATTTATTGTAATGTATTAATTATAATCTAGAGATTTTAATAGTGATATATTAATTATTTTTATTTAAATATAATTAAATATTTAAAATATAATAATAGAATAAATATATAATAAATATAATAATAGAAGACCATGATAATGTAACAAATAAGCAATATATCAATAATTAAGATTTCTTATAAAATCATATATAAATATTGACATGACAAAAAAGAGATAAGCACAATAACTTCGTGCATATTTACATATATATACGTAATGTCTGAATTTTTGTTACATCATTTTTATAAATACGTAAATTCCTATATATATAAAACATAATTTTAAATATATATATGTAGTACACATTTATTATATATTTTATATATTATTAATTTTAAAAAATAATTTCAAAAATACAAAACATTATCAAATAATAAAATGTAATATTATTATATATTACTTTACTATATATACACATTATATAATATATATAATAATAATAATATAAATATAAATATAAATATAATTACAGTTAAAAAATCTATTAATTTTTTTGTTTATTTTATAAAATTATATATTAATAGTGAAAAAATATATATAATTTTGATTCCTATTTATCATATAATGTATCAGATGTTTAGAATAGCTTAACTTATCTTTAATTATCAATGAAAAAGATTTATAATATTATAGATTATTATCTTAATTTATGATTAAAAAATACACATAACAATCTTATCAATAACGTATAATATACAGCATATAAAAGTGGTATAAAACAAAAGATATAAATAGATATTGTGAAACATTGAAGCAATTTACTACAACAATGTGTATTTTATTTATTTACCGTAATCCTAATGCTAATTCTGAATCATATCGATTGATTTTGGTTGCAAATCGTGATGAATATCTTAAACGTGCAGCATTACCAGCTCATTATTGGAAAAATCATCCAGTATGTTTAGGAGGTAAGTTAAAAACTACCTTTAAAATTAATTTATAATCTTTTATTGATATAATAAATTTATAATAAATTCTTTTTTTTTAATATCATATTGTTATATATTATTATATGTTAATAAGTAATAAATCTTAAATATAAATTTATTTTAATTTATATTTTATTAGGTATTGATATGGAATCTGGAAAAGAAGGTGGAACTTGGTTAGGAGTATCATTAACAGGAAAAGCTGGTGTTGTTTTAAATTTATCTAGTTCAGAGAAAAGTTCAACAAATATACCAAAGCAAGGACGAGGATTTTTAGTATCTAATTTTATTATATCAAAACATTCTACAACATCATATTTAGACCAATTACATAAGGAAAATAAAGAAGTTCAATATAATCCCTTTCTTTTGGTTTTATTAAATTTACAGTATGTAAATGAACTAAAAAAAAATCTATAATTAAAATTCATTATATATATAGTATGAAATTTTTTAATATTATTTAAATTTATTTAAATTTTTAATATTATTTAAATATTTAGAAATGCTGATGTTAAATATCTTAGTAATTCTCAAACTTCAAAAGGACCCACTTCAGTAGAAGATAATATCCTAGGTTTTAGTAATGGTCTTGATATCTTATACAAAAAAGTTGAAGCAGGAAAAGAAATTTTCAAAAATATTATTAAAAATGTTAAGGTATCAAAACAGACAGTACTTATTGAAGAACTTTTGACATTTATGAAATCAAAAAAAAGGTTTGTATAATTTGTTAAATAATTATAATTATTAAGTAAAATTACAAAATTTTTATTAATATATCATTTACTACATATTTACAGATATTTACCAGATGCAGAATTGCAAAAATCTTATCCTACTAAATATAAAGAATATAGTTCAATTTTTGTGTCAACTGATTGGGGATATTGTACAAGAACTCATTCTATATTGTTGGTTAATGGAAATAATGATATAACATTTATTGAAGAAACACTTATGCCAGATTTAACATGGAAACGACAAATATTTAATAACAGATTAATGTGAAAATTGATAGTAATGATAAAAATAAATTTAAATAGTATTTATACACAAGTATTTATTTAATTATATTATTATATTTAATATAATATGTGTATAAATCTTTAGAGTTGTATAAAAAAATATAAATTTTTCATAAAAAGTTTAAAATATATGTTTAAAAATATTATTTTATAAAATTCATATATTTAGTAAAATTTTTTTTTTATATTATTTTATAAAGAAAAAAATTATGGTACATTATCTTCATCAGGAAAATCATTATTAGAATCACTTTCTAATATATCTGATGATATATTAGTTGCATCATCAATTATGTTGGAATTTGGTACAGAACTTTCTTCAGATGATAAATTCTAAAAATATGAAATATACATTAAATACACATAAAATTTATATTTATATTTTTAAAAAATAATTTTAAAAATTCATTAACAAACCTGAGAAAATATTTCTTGACCTTCTAAGTTTTTATTAACAAGATTACCCATCCAAAATGCAGCTGGACTATTATTAAGAACTAACATTCCTTTTACACTGTAAATTAATCTTTCTAATATAGATTTTGCTACAGGAATATATTTTGTTAATGTAAGATCTTTCTTTTCTGCACTATCACAACAAATTGTGTGTAAATATCGTGTACCTCCTAAAATACAAATTCTATGTATAATTTATACTATATATTTCCATTTTATTATTATCAATATTTAATAAAAAAATTAAAATTTATACCTTGCATCATTTTCAATATTTTAGTTACATCTTCTGTTTGGTATTTTAAATTATGTTCTAAAATTGGCATTCCAAGATTTAAAAAAAACTTTAGCAAAATAGGCATATTTTTTAAAAATATCAATATATTATTTTTAGTTGTTAATGTTTTACATATTTGAACTAATTTTTGCACGTTTTCTGCAACTTCATACCATATTTCTATTCTTTTAGGATCTCTAATAAAATAAAATTAATTAATTATTAAGACTTTTATTTTATATAAAATAATTTTTATTTATAAGTAATTGTAAATAAAAAATTATATACCTTTCAGTCATTGGCAATGCTATTTTTATACCATTAATTAATCCATCAAACATTTTTTTAAATAAAAAATGAAAATTACTTCTTGTTATTGAGGGTATTCTATTTAAATTATTTTGAGCTTTTTCCAACTTTGAAATTTCGTTTGGTAACCAATCCAAAATTGTAGTAACTGTTTGTAATGGGAGTGGTTCATTATTAATCCAATTATTTAATAATTCAATTACAGCTGATTTATATTGAATACTAGTATGATTGTCTTCTGGCCACTGAAGACATAAAAAACCAAATGCCATTTTTGCTAAAAGAAGATTCATTTGAGGATTTTAAGAATCATTGATATTTATTTTCATTTTAATATACATTAAATATACTATTATAGTCTAATATATTATTAAAATAAAAAATATTTAATAAATTATAAGTTGAATAAATGTTACTGACCATATTTTTCTTTATTTTGATTAGTATAAGATTCAGAATGTTTCATTAATGATTGACACATATTAATTAGTG